AGATATGACTTTAGATAACAAAGAATTTAATTTATTTCTTGAAAAAATATTTATCAGTCTATCAAAGGGTAAAGTTTGCATTTTTTCAAGGAAAATTTCACTTACCATTTTATAGATACCAACTTAATTTGCATTTTTTCAAGAAAAATATCGCTTACCATTTTATAAATACCCATTTAATTTGCATTTTTTTATTTTCTGCACATTTATCCTAAATTAATGTATACACTAAATCACATGTGAGACTATACACTGAATTTAGAATATCATATGAACCTTATAATTTAACTTTAATTCTCATGCTTTCTCCTCAATACATACAACTTAGAGTGTCATAGGAACCTCATAATTTAACTCAAAGTCTGATGCTTTCTTTCTATTCAATACGTAGGAACCTCATGATTTAACTCTAAGCCTCATCCCTCTCTTCAATAACACAATTTAGAGCACCATAAGAACCTCATAATTTAACTTTAATCATGTTTTCTCTTTAATACACACAACTTAGAGTACCATAGAAACCTCATGATTTAACTCTAAGCCTCCTGCTTTCTATTCAATACACACAATTTAGAGTATCATAGGAACTTCATGATTTAACTCTAAATCTTATGTTTCTCTTCGATGCAAATAATTTAAAGTACCATAAGAACCTCATAATTTAACTTAACCCTCATGTTTTATCTTCAATCCACAAAACTTTGAAACTTAGTGTACCATAAGAACCTCATGATTTAACTCTATGCCTCATGCTTTCTCTTTAATGCACATAACTTAGAGTATCATAGAAATTTCATGATTTAACTATAAATCTCGTGTTTTCTCTTCAATAAATCCTATAATTGTGAAAAAACATAAAAGACTCAATTTGGTGGTGGTTATATTGAATCAAAGGTCTCAACTTCCATGACTATAAACCAAATGTCATATTGAACTTTATTTTTTGTTTATATAAAATCCTTCCAAACCTTGAAGTTGAAATTTTTAGACATATTTTTGTATTTTTTTTTCTACTTTTAAACTTCAAATATAAAGGATTTTAAGTTAGCTAACTATGTTGAGATGTGTTTTTAAGTATGGCCATTTTCAATAGTGTATATTTACTTTAAAGTTTTATTTTGTTTAGCCAAACTTTTAAAAGGTCATGTTAGTATTAGTTAGTTTAATCACGATTTATTATGTTTAAGTGTAGCTATTTTTGAGGATGATTTTATACTTTAAAACAGCTTTTTGAATCATAACTTTTAAAGATTTTTTGATTTAAAATGTTGTTTCTAAAACTAAAAAATATTTTTATTCCAAAAAAATGAAAAACGTAATTTCTCTTAAAAATAAAAAATAAATTTTATTCTGAAAAATAAACAAATATACTTGTTTTTAAAAGATAACAGTTTATTTTTAAATAAAAATTTATTCCAAATTTTTTTTAAATATCTTTTTTTCAGAAAATAAAATAAAATTGAAAAATAAAAAGTTTTATTTTGAAAAACAAAAAAATATGAAAATAAAAATATTTTTTATTCCAAAAATAAAAAAAATAATTTGAAAATATTTTTTTTCTGATAATTAGAAAAAAAAATTCTGAAAACAAGAAAAAAATCATAAATAAAAAAAAATCTAAATTTTATGTTAAAAAGATTTTTTTCTAAAAATAAAAAAGTTATTCCTGAAATAAAAAATATTTTTTAAAAATAAAAATAAAAGATATTTTGAATTTTTTTAGGCAAAATTTATTTTTTGTTCCCTTAACTCTATCTTTGAATTCAGATTGATCATTTAATTATTTTTCATGTTAAATTGGTCTCTTGCCTCAAACGTGTCAGGTTGGTCCTTTTTGTTTATATTGATTTTGGAATTTTTCCATCATTAACGAAATGAAAATGACTAACATGACCAATTTTTAAAGTTAAATGATGAATCTGACCAGAAAAATAATCAAAGAATCAATCTAAACTCAAAAATTTAATTAAGAAACCAAAAAATATTTTTTTTTATTCAGAAAAAATATAATATTTTGAAAATAAATAAATTTTGTCTAATATAAATTTTTTGTTTGAAAATAATAAAGAAATTCTACAATTTTTTATTTTGAAAAATGAATGTTGAAAAAAATTTAAATTAAATTTATTTTATGAAATTTAAAAAAAATAATTTTAAAATAATTGAAAATATAAATTTAATTTTTAATGTGTATATGATAAACTTGAAAAACATTTATATTTAAATATAAAAATATAATAATTTGAATAACTTAATTTTTTCATGCCAATTTATATCCTTAATACAAATCTATATCGAAGAATTAAAACACTACAACTATTATCTTGGTTAGTGTTCCAAAAAAAATCATCAATGCATGTATGAAAATCTTTTGAAAAGAGTTTATAAAATTTAAATTCTAAATATATACATCTAATATAAATATAACTTGAAACAATGAATTAGATATAGTTCCACTAGACATTATGGGAGAAATTCTATTTCCAAAACCTTTGCTATAGGTTGATTAATAAAGTTTTTTAAAGCACAAAATCAGGTTAAATTCAGAATATAAATAGGGTCAAAAATGAAATTTTATTAAATTAAAAATATATAAAAAAAGAGAATGTGATCATAGAAGTATTAGGCATATGAGAATATTCATTTATTGTAATCAAAATTAAATTTATCAAAGTGAAGATTTTGTGAATTTTTTTAGTAAGTAGAATTGAAAAGTCTTATATTTATGACATAATTAGTTATTCAGTCTATTAATTTAATTTAATATTTCGTTTCAGTTTTTTAACTGAAAAATATTACACTTTAGTTTCTTAAAAATATTTTCGTTAGTCGATTTAACCATTTCCGCTAAATTTTGACAATTCTACTTGTATTAAAAATCAGATTTAAACTACAAGGATTTTATTTTTGAAAGTTAAAAACTCTCACAAATAATTAATAATGTATAAAAAATATAGCTCTTTGGAGCATTCTAATGAGGCATATTATTTGTTCAATCCACATGTTGATATGGATTAACAATACAAAATAGTAGTGTTGTTGATGATGTTAAATGAACTTGTATATGAGTAGTTATCCCACATTATTACCACATTATTACCACATAAACCACAATAATAAATATTTGCACTTATGCTTAGCATTGGTTATATGGATGCTAACTTAGATGTATAAGCAGTTGAGAAATATTTGTCGGATTAAGAGAATAAGTTCTTTGATACTCAGCCTTTAGGAAACAATAACTTATCTAGCAAAAACTACACTGAACTAGCTTAGCATTTGTTAGAATAAACACTCAACCAAAACAAGTTTTAGACAAAATGTTCTAGGAGCGATGGTACAAACTCAAACAATGAAAATGAAAAGTATGACAAAACCAATAAACTAACATTCATAAGAAAAAAGTTAACACAAACAAAAAGATTAAAAAATAAATATTAATGTTATGTCATCAAAGAAGCAACTTGTTAAGGTAGATGGATTCATAATATTCTATATCAACTTGCAATGTTTTAACAAACCCTTTGAAGCTGGTTGGTTTTGCACTACGTGAACAAAACTTGAAGTACGTGGATCAAAAGAAATTAGATAATTAATTGTTTTGTTTAATCAAAATTTTATGTATTTTTTAGGGTTGACAATGAATCGAATCGAATTAACTCGAAAATAATTTGAAATTTGATTCGACAGTTAAATTGTTAAACTAGGTTAATGAACAAAATGAGTTGAATATGAGCGAAAAACTAACTTCGTTAACTAAATAAGCTGAATTTGAATTATATATAGTTTGACTCGATAAGTTCTTGAGTTAACTTGATTAGATATGAGAAAAATTTATTGTCTTTAAGAGGAGATTTAAAGATGTACTTTAAATTTAGTCATATATTTTCTTTTAATATAATGTTAGAAAATATAGAATGGTATCTCATGTGTCAGCAAATTTTTTTGTCATTTTAATATTTAATGTGGTTTCGGAATCAACCTTAGCGTCAGAGAATGAGTTATTAATTTATTGAAACTTACGTAGTTTTTGAATTAGGAAATCTTTTATATAAAGTTAAATTTTTATTTAATAATTTTTATTTTTAAAAATATTAATTTAAAATATCAAATAAAAAAAATTAAAATGACTTTTAAGTCTATGAAGCAAATAAATAAACTTAACGAGTTGAATCGAATTGTTTATGAATTTATAACAAGTCAAATTTGAGATTAAAAAAATTTGTGTTAAACTCGAATCAAAATTTATGAGTCAATCTAAACTAAGATGAATTCAACTCGATTCGTTTCATTTTCAACCTAATCTTTCATAACGAAATAATATTAAAATTAATTTTTTTATTCATTCAAACTAAATAATTAAATTAATTTTTTTTGACAGAGTAGAAAATAATATTTAAATATATCTATAAAAAGTTAAATAATAAATAAGGAGTATAAAAATAATTCAGTGAATGAAAGAAAAAATCTAAAAAATATGTAAAACGAAATTTGTTTGAAATTTTTTAAAAATTTTAAAAAATTCAGAACGCTACTTCAAAACCTTCCATCGTGCTAAAAACATATTGCCCATCACTGCCGCTCACAACCGCCGTTCGCCGCTAGTTTCTCACAACCGCCGTCCACCTCAAGCTTCTCACAACCGCCGTCAGCCGTCAGCCTCTCACAATTGCGTTGGCTGCTCACAAACATCGTCCCCCTGGTTTCCGTTCGCATTAAGGTTAGATTGTCTTTCTTTATCTCTCAATCGAAACAGTACAGATATTTAGGTATTAAGGATTCAAAAGGTAAATGGATTTAGCGTTCAATTTCAGTGATGGTTCAATAGTTACAGTAACCATTTCATAGTTCAATTAGAGGTTTGATTTAGGTATTAGTATTCTTTATGAAATTCCTGCATCTAGAAATTGAATAATATTTCTTACTTTGCTTAAATTTTCATTAAATCCACATTTTATATATGCAGTAGCATTTCTAGAAATTTTCAATCATTATGCACGATGTTCCGTTCTTTGTTTGATACGGCAAGAAATTACGGTTTCCTTCATAGTCGTAAACAAGGATTCATATACCAGCAGAACTTTGGTCTAGTGAACATAAAGTTGAAATGGGTGAAAGATAGAACAATGGATTCTGTTGTCACTGGTCAGAGGGATCTTAAGGCAGCTGGGATTCTTGTTTCAATCATTTATTCCTCTTCGGAATGCTGCCTTCCGATATACCGTCTTTCTCGTCATCGCGGACAACTCGGACTTCCAGATGACCTTAAACTCGCCGCTTTTATTAGAAGATATCCGAATATTTTTGTTGAGTCGTCTTTTCTCGATAGCGGTGGCTCTCCTGTTCCGTGTTTTGGATTGAGTCCGGAAGCGTTGAAGCTCCATCGCGAAGAGGTTGATGTACTTAGAGAAAATTGGTTTGATCTTAGGGATAGGCTGTGTAGATTGCTTATGCTTACGAGAGATTGGATGCTTCCCTTACAGACTATTGATCAGTTGAAATGGGATTTGGGTTTACCGTATGATTACCAGGATTCTTTTGTTTTGAATCATCACGAAAGATTCTCTTTTGTTCGCCTTCTTGACGATCGCGTTGGTTTGAAATTATTATTTTGGGATGATAAGCTTGCTGTATCAGAGTTAGAGAAGAATGCTTCTATACAACAAGAGGGAGAAGACATAAAAAATGGAACCTTTGCGTTTCCGGTTAGTTTTACGAGGGGTTTTGGTTTGAAAAGGAAAAGTATGGAGTGGTTGAAAGAGTGGCAGAAGCTCCCGTGTACTTCGCCTTATGCCAATGCATCTCATTTGGATATTCGTACAGATGTATCTGAGAAAAGGGTAGTTGGAGTTTTTCATGAGCTCCTTCACCTTACACTTCATAAGCAAACCGAGCGTAAGAATGTTAGCAACTTACGCAGACCGTTGGCTTTACCGCAGAAGTTCACTAAAGCATTGGAACGACATCCTGGTATTTTTTACATTTCCATGAAGAATGACACCCAAACAGTTGTTCTGAGGGAGGCCTATAATGGCGGGGAACTCGTGCAGAAACACCCCCTTGTGAAAGTTAGAGAGGAATTTGCAAATCTAATGAAGAAAGGACTGCTTGATAGGAGTAGGGGTGTATACAAGAAAGGTATAGATGCTAATTTCGTTGAAGAAGACAGAAAGGAAGTTTACATCACCGATAAAACTTACCAGGTTAAATCTAAAGATGAATCAGATTCAATGTTATTCTGAATATGGTTCAAATGATAAGCTCAAATCGTTGCCAAAACAGGGACTGCCTTCCTCTCTTAAAGTATTATCTATCATAGATTGTCCGTTATTGGAAGCAAATTTGCAGAGAAAGCGGAGGTAAAGCAGTGGCATCTCAGGTATAAATTTCTTTGATAATCTTCTCTGTAACTTCGCTTTCCAATTGGATTACTATTCCGTCCTATAGCTCTTATGGTTTTATTTTTACAGGAGAAGATCCTTCATAGAGTGTTGGATGCAGCAGAAGATCCTTCATATAAGCTGCATTTAATGTGATTTTTATATAAATGGGGCTATAATTCCATTATAATTTATGTCTTGTTATTTTCAGTTTTTCACATGAGCAGTGACCTAAATACCTAAATGACAAATTTTTCTGACTCCAACGTGTATTACATATGATTGACTATGATAGCAATTCCTATTTTTGGTACAAACAAGTCAAGAGAGTTTAAGCCCTCCAATATCTTTCAAACAGCGGAAAGTGTTTTCAGAAGCTCCACTTTAGTTTACTGAAGATGAAGATACAGAAAGGATATTTTCTCTTATAAAGTGGTAACCAAATTTTTTTAGGTTAGTACAAACATTTTTTGCCGGGTGCACGACAGCGGGTCACGACCCATTTTGACATCTTACACACAATTTAGAGTACTATAGGAACCTCGTGATTTAACTATAAGCCTCATGATTTTTCCACCATTCACACAACTCATAAAGAGTATCATATCACCCTCATGATTTAACTTTAACCCTCATGTTTTCTCTTCAATACACACAACTTAGAGTATGATTTAACTATAAGCCTAGTGATTTCTCCACCATACACACAACTCATGAAGAGTACCATATGAAACTCATGATTTAACTTTAACCCTCATGTTCATAGAAATCTCATGATTTAACTCTAAAAAACTCAATTTGGTGATAGTTATATTGAACCAAAGGTCACAACTTCCTCAGCTATAAACCAAATGTCATATTAAACTTTATTTTTATTTATATAAAACCACCCCCAAACCTTGAAGTTGAAATTTTTATGTTTATTTGTGTATTTTTTTCACTTTTAAAGTTCAACTTTCATTTAAAGGTTCTTTAAATTATAAGCTAACTATGTTGAGGTGTATTTTCAAGGATATCCATTGTGGTAGTGTATTTCTACTTTAAAGTTTTAAGTTTTTAAACCAAAGTTTTAAAAGTTCATGATAGTATTAGTTTGTTTGATCATTATAAGCTAACTATGTTGAGGTGTATTTTCAAGTATATCTATTGTGGAGAGTGTATTTCTACTTTAAAGTTTTAAGTTTTTAAACCAAAGTTTTAAAGGTTCATGTTAGTATTAGTTTGATTGATTGTTTATGTTTGGATACATTTATATAAAAGTGAGTTGAATAATAAATTTTAGTGTAAAAATCATATTTAAAATTAGAAGTTACTTTTAAAAAAAATCAAACATCTTAAAATTACTCCAAAATCAATTCTACGCCTCTAAACTATTTTTTGAATCATAACTTCTCAGGAACTTTGAACATTAAACTACTTTTTGAATCATAACTTCTAAGGAACTTAGAACATTAGTTAAATCATTATTAACTTACTATTTTTAAGTATAATCATTGTTTAAAAAAATTTATTTATTAATTGTTTAAAAATTTCTTTCTGGTTAACAAATATTAATCCTATTGTTTAAAATATATCTCCTTCTATTATGTTTAATTTCTTTCTCCGGTTCCAGATGCCATAGATGTTGCTGATACTCTGGTTCTTGAGCATGCCATAGATGTTGTTGATGCTGCTCCGGTTCCTAATGTCATAGATGTTGCTGCTGATGCTCCGGTTTCTGATGCCATAGATGTGATCGTAATAATTTTCAATCAATAATTTTCTTCAATTATGTGTGATTTCCTATTAAAACATAAGTTTAATAAGTTTCAATCAATAATTTTCTTCAATTATGTGTGATTTCCTATTAAAACATAAGTTTAATAAGTTTCAATCAATAATTTTGTTTAATTATGGTTGGAGCAGCACATGAATTCTTAATTTTAGTCTAATCTTCACCATTTATCTTTATCTTATTGATAAAAAAATCACAATCAATTTTCTATGTATAATGATTTATATAAATCTCTATTTAAATCTGTCTTCTCATTATTCTATTTTATTTTTTAATAATTATTTTAAATTAAATTGTATTTTTTAATAATTTAATGGTTAATATTAACGTGTGTTCTAAAATCATAATTTATCATAGTATTAAATAATTTTCAAAGAAATTAAACAAAAACAAGAAGAAATTAATTGCATGGGAGGTTGCACCATAAAATTTGACCAACTTTTTTATTGAGTTTTTTTTTCTTTGCATTTTGCGGCTTAAGATTCTGGTGACAGACTTAAAAAATATGGGCTTTTCAAATACCTTCCGTAACACTTTTTCCTCTATAATTTGAAAGAACTTAAGAAATAGGGGCTCTTCAAATTCCTTCCGTAACACTTCCACCCAAAAATTTCTTCTATAATTTGAAAGACTTAAGAAATAGGGGCTTTTCAAATTCTTTCCGAAACACTTCCACCCAAGAATTATCCACAGGTATTTTAGGGAAGGGAGACTAAATTCTACACATTACAAAAATATTAATTATATATAAATAAAAATATGCATTACCTAATTTTATAGGCATAGTTACCCTAATTCTATACATTAAATAACATAAATATAAATAACATAAATATGAACGGATCATATTTCATACACACTTTTAATTCTGATTAATCAAATCTAAATTTCAAATTAACCTAATTAATTACTCAAGATTAATCAAACCTAAGTTTCTATGCACCAGTTTGCACATTTTCAGAAATACTTGCTTTGCTTTGAACCCGATTATGATTGTAATAGTCGATTAGGGTGTTGGTGAGAGAGTCCTTTGGAGATTTCGAAGAGATGAGTTGGAGTTTCTGAAATAAGAGAGGGAGAAGTTACGAAGCTTTTCATATTAATATATGAATCCAAAATTTTCATTTTTATTCATTATCCGATAAACTTTACCATTTAATTTAAATTGTACGGTTTATATTGTCCTGATTTAAAAGAGGGCAGTTTAAAAAATATAATATAAAAGTAAGCAGGGATTTAATTTCATATTATTAGACCAGAAAATTTATTTATCATTGTAATAATATTTATAATAATTATGATATTTTAAAATAATTTTGAATAATATTCTCATTAATTAAAAATTAGAGAAATTTTTTTAAAAAGAGATTTTAGACTTGATAATAATAATAATATTTTATATTAAAATAATTAAATATAGAAGAGAATAAAAAATAATAATATGTATTTAGAAAAGGTAGTCTACGATCAAAAGTAATAATTACATTTTTACATTAATTTTATTACTGGACTAAATTCATGACTAATTTGGTAAATTTTCTTGTTTTGCTTCCATTACTTAATTATGATTAGCTTTGAATATTGTGAATGTTAGCATTTTCACGTTAATTTTTTACTGATACATTTATTGTTTTAATAGTTTCTTTGACAATAAGTATAATTTCTTCCTGCTATTGTGTTTCTCATGAGACTTTTTGCAACTCATTGTATGTTGCTTAAAGAAGCAAATAACTTTTGTATTTTCAAATCATCCACAAACCAACTCAAGTTGCCATTTTCGTTGCTTTGTCCTTATATTAGTTTGTTGCTTTCATCCAATTTCTTGCTCTCCATCTTCATTTTGTAATGCATTTCTTTTGCATGTTGCTATTGTTTATCTGATTTACTTGTTTTTAGTCCCAATAGAATGCTAATTTTGTTGGAACAAGCCTCGTGCTTGTTTGTGAATCAAAGTGAAAAAGTATGGTTAATAATGGAGGATTCGGTTAATTGATGGAGAGGATGAAGATTCAAGAGAATTAGAAGAGAATAGAAATGTAATTAAAACTCAAGGAAAAACGCTCGCATATCATTTCATTAAAACTTCAATTTATAGTTACAATGGAACATCCTGTTGACTGAAGCTTAAAACCACAACAAAACCTTTCCTGCGCGCGAACGGTCGACCATAGGATCGGCGTGCGCTGAGTCGTGGCAACGCAAAACATTCATGCGCCGACTGTATGGTCGACTCATGGCTTCCATGCGCTGGGCCGTGAGGGATGCCAGATGCCATGCGCCGACTGTATGGTCGACTCATGGCTTCCATGCGCTGGGCCGTGAGGGATGCCAGATGCCATGCGACGACTGTCTGGTCGACTCACGGCTTGGAGACTCTCACAAATGCTTCCAGAAGCTGTTTAAACTACATTTGAATTATACCAACTTCCAATACACCACCTTAATTCAAATGCTCAACATTCTTCATGCCAAACTTCATCACTAGCTTCTTGAACACATCATTCGTAACGCCTTTCGTCAACAGGTCCGCAACTTGTTCTTCGCTTCTGCAGTACCCCAAACGTAACTGTCCAGAACTCACTAGTTCCCTCAAATAATGGAACCTCATCTCAATATGCTTGCTCCTCCCATGTGCTATGGGATTCTTAGCAAGGTTGATGGCCGAAACGTTGTCCACCAACAACAGAACAGCTCCTCTCGTACTACTGTCCAGCTCACGCAGCAGGTTCACAAGCCACACAGCTTGGCATGCACACAATGACGCTGCGATATACTCCGCCTCACAAGAAGAGAGTGCAACCACCGGCTCCTTTTTAGAACACCAAGAGATTGGTGCTCCGCCGAACATAAAGACATAACCAGCCGTAGACTTTCGATCGTCCTTATCTCCGCACCAATTTGAGTCGGTGTATCCGAGTAACTCGCAACTTCTGCCCTTGTCTAATGCTGGAAATAAAATTCCACAGCCAAGGGTACCTTTCACATATCTAAGGATTCTCTTAACTGCAGCCAAGTGTGATACCTTTGGCCTCTCCATGAACCTGCTTGCAATACCGACACTAAATGCTAAATCTGGCCGCGTATTGCA